GGGAAATATCTGGCCCTTTATCTGTTAAATGCTCCACTATTTTCACCAGCTAGTCTCTGCTAGTGTCTGTCTGCTGTTGCATATAGTGAGCAGGTAGTGTACACTGGGTTTATCAGAGCTTCCTTACTGAAAACAGCTGCCTGTGGATGCTGGAAATGGGGTTGATGAGGGCGGAGTTTGTGGCTGTAAAACAAAACAATGAGCTAAAGAGGTTAAAGGGCACCGTAGAGCTGAGGGGACTGCATGCTCACATTATACATAGTAATTTGATCCAGCAGCTTTAAAGCAGTATTTTATCTCTCAGTGTCTGACTGGTTGGCCCCACTTGCAGCAAGAAGTTGTAAGAATGAAGAGTCACCAGACTAGCTCATCAATATATCTCTCTATTGTGAATGTTACATGATTTTGTATAAACTACACTTCCCAAAAGGTACTGGAAACGTAGTTAAACTAGTAGTGTAAAAGTGTTTCTACTCCCTAACACTGTTATTTGGACAAAAACTAAAACTTAAAATATGCTCAACAAGCACTTAAACTTTAAGTTCAAGTTCACTGGCCAGCCTCATGTTAAAGGCAGCAGACTGTAAAACAGCACTTAAATGACCCCGCTCTATTTCTCACACCATTATTAGAAGGTGCATAAAACACAGGAGAAACTGTATGTTACAGTTTAAAACATCTGGAACCTGTCAGTGAGGCAGACAATCTAATCTTTTTAAAAAGTTCCCATAAACACACCCTCAACATTAATCACAGAACATTCTGATTGCATAATGTGAATTATCAGGGTGAAATATCAAATATGTTTTATGCTGCTGCTGATTCCTCAAATGTTATTTATCAAATTCCCCTTCACCGTATAGGGGTGGAGGCACAAATCTGGATATCACTAATCAAAACTGTCTGCAAGGCTATTAGATGGTACTGAGAAAATGTGTTTTTCATTTGGATTAACAAACCATTTAAAACCTCTTCCACGCCATCCCTTCTTACCATAGACACACTTTTGTTTCATTTTAAGGAATATTAGGTGGTACAGTTGTCAGGTTTTCCAGTGGTCTCATTTCTGTCAGACCAAGATAAATGGACATAACAGGTAAAAACAAACCAAACATATAGTAGCAAACATGCAGAATTTAGCCATAGAGAAGAAGAATCCTGCAGGAGAATTATGTTACAAATCATAAATCATTGGATTTTCATTCCCTCTTCCAATTAAGGTCCAATAAGGTTATAGTCTCTCATTATGTGACTTACACACTTCAGAGTTCATCTGAGGATCACCTTTCGACAAGAACTTGAATTCCTGGAAGCACTTTAGTTTCTTTACACAACCTGTAACACTGGATGTGCGTGTGTGTGTGTGTG